TGCTTCGAAAGGTCTCTAAAACCATCACATCATGCTTCATATTATAAACATGAAAACAACTTGCTTAATTAATTGTCAGGATAATCATTTATATCAATCTCGTACAAACAGTAACTTAATTAAAAACACATGCAATCCAAAATTATGAAGAAAAAAAAACAATTATCATATATTACTTTTTCCATCCAATAACCCAAGGTTTATGAATCGGATTGCATTCAATTCACTAATCAATTTAAGAAAATAAATCATAAAATTAAGTTTAATAATTAAGCCAATTGAGTGGGACAGTAAACTTGAAGTCCTAAAATAACATAAAACAAAATTGCACGATTCAAACAAAGAATAAAATCAAAACAGGCTCAAAACCCTAAGTTACATAACTGGGAGAATGAAATATACTTACCTTAATTCACCCTCAAGAATTGCACCTCCAATCAATTGCAAACAGATTATTGAAGCAACCTAGGTTTTCAAAAACAATAGAAGTAATGAGATGTTGAGATTCAAATATTGGAGCAATCCATGATCAAGAATAGGCATGAGTGAAGAAATTAGACAAAATCAAATATTTTGTTTAATATTTTATTTTTGTTATGCAATATATAGTAATTATTTATACATCACCGTTAATTTAAAATAATTTTTTTTATTAATAACGTTACTATTTATTGTACGTTATTTTTATATTTATTTATTTACGTCACTTTTTTTTATATAAATACATATATTACATAATTCAATATTTTTTTATCTAAAAAAATAAACCATCAAAGTTTACAACTATAAAAATTGAATAATAAAGAAGATCGAACTCCAAATGAAACAATAAAGATAATAAAGCAGAGAGGACAAAAAAACGTGAAGACGATTTTGACAGAACATGTGATTTGAAGATGGGGGATGAGAATAAAAGAAGAAAAAAAAAAGATATACTTAATATAAATTTGAATATAAATTTATAATTAAATTCAAAATAATAAAAAAAATTGTGACGGTTAAAAAAATTTAATAGAAACAAAAATATTTGTAACAATTTTTTAAACAGCTATAATATAATGGCTAATAAAAAATGTTTTTTATTAGAGTTACATTGAGCTAAACCACTAGTCCAAATAAAAGAAGAATGATATGATATGTTAATACAAATTATTTAACAATATTTTGATACAGCATGTTATTTTTAAATTTAGTTTAGAATATAATAACCAGTAAAAAACTGACACGTGTGTCAAAAAAATCTTTTTTCAATAGAAAATTACAATAAAAAATTTAGTTCACTTTTGACGAGGTCAACTCTACATGAAAAATAAAAATAAAAAATATATTAAAACTTTACGTTTAAAATTTTTACCATGCATGTAATGTAATGCTTTTAAAACTTTACTACTAGTTACAACTGTTTAACATTTAAATGAAACTTATATTGAATTAGTTATACATTTTATGCTTAAACTAAATTTTCCTGTTTAATTTAACTCTGTAAAATAGATAACATATTTTCTCTATTTTTTTTTTCTTTTTGCTTTATAGTGAATAGGCTTGAAAAATCTATCTATAGGTGAGATGGGTCAAGCCTTTTAAGCTTAAGATGTTGAAACACACAGTGTTATCTCCATACGAATGGGATTCACATATATTATATAAGTAGTGTGGCAACATTCACCAGTACATAATATGGTTCTTTCTAATGTAATTATAATGTTACTATAGAAAAAGCACATATAAGTTAAAATCAAACTTCAAAATATTACTATAGAAGCATTAATCAATATGGACGAACATAGTTGTCATGATCAATGTCGTTTTTAAGAAGTATATATCACATGTATTCATGAAGAAAAATAAAAGAAAAAAAAAATACTCCAACATCTTTTAAAAAGTATTGTGTTCGGATATGTCTCTCTTAAACTAGTATTAGTTTCATCTTTTGGATATATTCAGTCATATAATACTTTAATACTTTTAAATGAGACATACTCAAACACTAACTATGAAATGGTTGATAGTTGTTTAGTAAATAAGCTTGAATAGATAAATACTCTAAGTGCTATTTCAAATAGTGGTCTTACTCACTAGCTTATTCTTAATTAAGATTTTTGCTAGGATTACTCTTAAGATATTTGGTAATAGTTTCTCACTATTTTATCTTTTTTAAGTTAACATGTTGTAACCTTGCTTATTGGTAACATGTCATCACACTTCATTACAAAATGAATAAGATAAAAACATATATCATTTATCATCTATAAACGAAACAAAATAGAGGTAAGATAGAAACATATATGACGAGAACAAAGACTAACTTTGTCTACACATTTTTAGATTGCAAATCTTAAAAAAATAGATTTTATAAATTTTAATTTAGAAAACATGACAACTTTTTATGTTAGATCGTAGTTTACTTTGTATATACACTTTTAGATTGCAAAGCTTTAAAAAAATATATATATTTTTTTTAATTAGAAAACTTGACATCTTTTAATACCAAATAGTAAGTTATGAATAATTAATTTAGTTATGATCCTCAGAGAACAAGTTTATGAATTTTAAAAAGATTTTCAAACTTGTGTTCAAAGTTTTTGTTTTGATTTATGGGTAAAGGTTCACAATTTTTCAAACTCCATTTATTCAACTCTTTGTAAATGTTATTGTTATTTTTATTATGTTGGGTGGTACTGGAAGACTAAATACAAAAGGTACTCTGATATTAAAGTCATTGTTGACAGTTACAAAAATTAATACACAATAAATAAGAATCACCTACCTCTTTATTTTAAACATGTATTTATAATTTTCTCAGTGAACTACACATTAGCTAGAGTCTAATTTTAATCTAATAATTGGTAATCTTGTTTTGTTTTAAGATGACAATTAGTGATATTAATCTTTGGTCAGAATGACTGTTTCATTTTTGATATAAGTATGACCATACAGTTCATCATGTGAATATGACCATACGACCATATAATACAGTTTTCTTTTTTCTTAAAAATAAATTTAAGTATAATGGTGTTTAAATTATTGTTAAATCAGTCCATAAATATAGAAGAAAGAATTATTAATTTATAAAATAAATATAGTTAGAAAAAAAATTATAAAAGTGAAAATTCTTCATTCATCCTTCCGGAAAAAGCCTTAAAAATAAAAAAAACAATAGTCATACTCAAAAACAATAGTCATACTCAATCCTAAAAAGAAAACCAGAGCATGGTAAGCATAAAAGTGGTTTTTGAGGGAAAGAGAGAAAGAAAGAGAATAATTTAAAAAGTGCATTGATCTAAAGGTAAAAGCCCCTCCTTGGAAACCCTCAAGATAGAGATAAATTAATGATGATGTCACATTTTTTATTTATTTTTACTTAACTACATCCGTAACTATTTTCTTCTTAGTCAATCTTTATTATTATTTTTCTTTCACGTGACCTTTTTCTTCAATTGAGTTTGTACATACTTATTCTCCGCAAGCGTACATTTCAAAAGTATTAATAAGATTAAAAATACATTTTTAATTTGTCAAATAAAAATATATTATTGTAGTTTATATTTTTATTTATTTTGTTGAAAATAAAACCGCAAAACTTTATAACTCTTCCGGTTATAGTCTGAAAATTATAAAATGTCTATAATCAAATTTAATATATTTCTAAATAAAATATATCATTTTTAATACAGTATAAAAAGTGCAATTTTCTTATTGAATGTACAAAGAGGATAATTTACATCCTCCAGAGAAGAGGATAGCATATCACTATCCCTCAAGATTTTGTCTCAAAGCTAATTTTAGAGACCAAACCAACTCGGAAGCCAATTTTATGCTATATTATATATATTTAAATAAAAAATTATTGCATAATCAAGTTCACATGCTGTAAATTTTTTTATTAATTTATAGTAAACTTGGTTATTTGTATATACATTAATCGTGATTTAGAAAAATGAAATAATAATTATGTTTAACAAATTATCAAATTATAATATATTTTGTTACTTACTAAGAAACAGTAGTTAAGAACCATTTAGAAAAATATATAATTTATTATAACGTTGTGATAATAGTTATGCACTGAAAAACTAATTTGATAAGTTTTTGGTACAACACGATAGAAAATATCCTAATTCTATGTAAATATACCCATTATTTATTAAATTTTTTATTGATATCCTAGATATCAAAATTTTTATTAAAGTTTTGAAAATGAAGAAAATAATTTTTAATACAGTTTTGAAATCAATATAAAACTCATAATTTCGAAATCAGAGAATAATTTAGTCTTGTTTCCAAAAAATATTAATATAATACTTTAATTTATATTTTTAAGAAAAAAAAACTAATATTTATATTTTTTGTTTGTAATATTTGAAGTTGTATTGTAAGTAACATTTTTGTAATAGATTTATAAATTGACGAGGTTGGAAGGCTTAGCTTGTGGGAGAATAATGGAGTTCCTTCTCAACTTGTGGAAGAAGGAAAAAGAGAAAGAAAGAGAAGCATGCATGGTGAATGCAGGTCATAAAATTTTTACTCTTTGGCAACAACACCAAATTCTGCTTCTCCAGTAAGCCTACCCATGCCCTTCTGTTCCTACGTATCTACCAAGCTTTCTATCCTTTTCAGAGTTTCACCCATTATTTCCACTGCTACAGTAATACTTCAACTTATTCTTCAAGATTCCTTATTAGTAAATAGTGCTGTTTAAGTAAAAATAAAGTATGGTAAAATATTAATTAATTTACATACGATGTGGGTATTAATTAGAATTTGTTGTATTGTTATGTTTTTGGCATATTTTGGAAAGGGAAAGTGGGGACGTGAAGGTCTAAGGTCAATTACAACTGTTACAAGTATTTATTAAACTAAACTCAAATTCTCTCATTCATCCACTCTCTGCCACACTAAGGACAAAGCATAAAGCAGCATTTCTGTCCTTTATTTTTTTATTCATTTATTAATCGATTAAATTTCTCGCATTTCAAATCATTATTAATAACTCCTCTCTTCCACTCTTCATGCATTTATACCCTCCCTCTCTACTTTCTCCTTCAAACTTCTCTCTCTCATCTAACACTGTCTTTGGCCATGGAAAACCAAACCGGTCTCAAGCTCAGAATCTCTCGCATGTTCAGATCCTCCTTCGGTTCCTGTCGAACAAGACACATAGCCGATGTGATGGAAAAAGCAGTTTTTGCACCACCCACTTCCATTGACCCACCCTCTCCCAAAACCACACCCTTTGCTCCCTCTTGTAGGTCCAAAACAATCAATGACACTTGCATACTCTCCTTTGACGATTCTCATTCTCTCTCTAGACGCAAAATCTCACATTTTTCATCACCTTTTCTCTGGGCCAACACCACCACTGCCACCACCAACAACCTCAAGCTTAACCTCGGTGTCATGTCGTGTCCCCCCACTTCTCCCAAAGTTTCCCTTAACACAATCCAAGACCACGATTTCATTTTCCACGACAAGAAGAAGACTTCTTCTTCAACAAAAAACGTTAAGACCAAGAAAAAGAAGAAGAAGAAGAGACGTTCCCAGAAGAGAAGGGACTTTTTCCCTTTCAATTCATGCTCCAAAGACACCAACTTTGGTGGCTACTGGTGGTACAGCAGCAACGAAGACGATGAAACTGACACCCTTTTCTCCTCCAAGAGCCTCTCCTCCGACTCCTCCAGGTCCCGGCGCCGTGGCCGGAAAAGTGACCGGAGCTCCGACATGGGTGTTCTGCCGCTGCACGGGAAGGTGAAGGACACGTTCGCGGTGGTGAAGCGCTCGAGCGATCCTTACAGTGATTTCAGGACCTCGATGCTGGAGATGATCGTGGAGAAGCAGATATTTTCGCCAGCGGATTTGGAGAATCTCTTGCAGTGTTTTCTGTCTCTGAATTCGTATCATCATCATAAGATCATTGTCCAAGTCTTCACGGAGATTTGGGAGGCTTTGTTCTCTGACTGGTTTTGATATCAGTAAAACAATAAATAAGAGGGAGAAAGAAAATAACCTCTATCTTGTCTTCTTTCTCTCTGTTATTTGTGTTAGTTAGTTTCCAAGGAAATTTAATTAGTTCAGTCCTTCTAACTCGCTTTGCATGTATGATATGAAATGATATTCCATCTTCTGCCTGCCACTCAGTTTAATTACTGAACACTTTTCGTATGACATCTAATTTTCTTATCTTTGTTGCCACTGTTCAAGATTCTTTTCTATCTGTTGGAATGTTGGAGTTAATCTCTTCAAATGTTATTAAAATCTAACATTTACTCAAGTCAGGGGGATACATCTTTCAATATACTAGCATGTTTATGGGAAAACCAAGCCTTGGTCACATAATTAAAGACATAAGATAGGCATAGAGAGAATGTGTTTGGTTTGTTATAGTTGTTAAAGAATGGGGTGTTCGTGTGTGGATACACTGACAATTATGGAACTGTGGTTGCAAAGGAAGTGGTGAGATTGTGAAAAGACCTAAAAAAAGAGCACTTGTCTTGTTTTTGGGGTGTGGAAAAGACTGCAAAATGGAAATTGGAAAACAAGGGGGGCGATGGATGAGTTCTTCCTCTCCTCTAGGTTTGGACTTGTGAGCCTGGAGTTTGAAAGAAATGGTGATGCGATGGGGTGCTTTTTTTGATTTGAATGGGGCAAAGAAAGTGCTTGAATTGAAAGCACAAAAGCAAAGCTGTCTCACTCTCCCGTGTTGTTGAATTGGACCTTTTTCAAATTCTTTTCATCTGGATGCGCCAAAAGAGCACAAAAAGACTATCTTGTATTGTATTCTAAAGTGAGTAAAAGTCCCTCCATGATACCTACATTGGAGAAAAGTAAGAGATACTATCATCTTTCCAATGGAATTAGGAGGTTATCATTAGCAAAACAAAAAGTTTCACATGTGATGAGAGTTCACGGAGTGAGTGAAATCTGCATTGGATTAAGTCAACAAAATACTCCATAGATAAACTTTTATGTGAGTTGTGACCACACAAGAGATTCCATAACACCTGTTGTATTTAAAATGAATAGTTATTTCATCCTTAGTTATAAAGCTAAACGTAACGAATGATTCCATATTTACACCGGATAGTTCTTATCCCAAAAAGTAACTACACTGAAGTTATTTGAATATGTTCGAACATTAAAAGAAGAATACTTCAGAAGGATTATCTATTCTACAATATTAGCGATGTTGACTGTGTTTTACAATAATAATCTACAATATATAAAGCAGAAACATAAGGGGACTCACATGATGCAAATATTTCTAGATCTCATTTTCTTGTTTGAACATGTGTTTCTAATTAAGAATTATGAACTTGTAGACCAAGATGCAGATATGGCTGAACAGAAATTTTATTTGTCCTAGTTTCATGACAAAAAGTTATATGTCTATGGCCGCGAAAAACGTTCCTTCAATTCTTTTCAAATGTCCTACATATCACCTGGTCAAAGAAAAAAAAAGCACTTGTTCAATAATTTAGTAATGAATTTGTCACCATGCAAGGACAACATAATTTAGGAAGCATCAAGTGAAAAAAAAAATAATTGTTCTTACAATACATTTTTTATGCTATTTTTTATTTTTCTTTCCTTTTATCTTTCTCCGTGGTATAATCTATCTCATCTCATTTTTGTTTTTTCCGTTCAATCTCTCTTTTATTTACATAAAAAAAATTGTACAGAAATAATGTACATAATTTGTCATTCAAAAATAATGAGAAAGGGAACACAAAACTGTGTCGGTTTTGTAGGGGATCGGTACACCTACAGAAGAGACAAGATGTATAATTGTTAGGTGAAAACATTAGAAGTTTGGATCATTAACCAAATTCATGTGTATGAATGTATTGTTATGGACCAAATTGTATTGGTTTGAGCAAGCAAGACAGGACAGAACAAGCACACACCCCTTTAACATGAAACACTGTCCCAGAAGGAGATCATGTCGTTTGTCTTGACTATATAGTTCAAACTAGAGAGATCTGAAAATAATTGTTGTAAGGAAGGATCTTGGGCTGTTCATGTAGATATATCAATGACAGGCAAAGATATGTTTGGGTCATGATGGGACTAAGGACTGCAGCTTCAACAAGCTAATGGAAAACAAGGGTAGCCAAAATAAAGTTAAAGTTTAGTATAATTTAGAAAGAAGTGGAAAATAAAAAATTTGATTTGGTGTGGAAAAAAAAGAAGAAAAAAGAAAGAATTGGAGAAAGGGAAAGAGGATTGGTCATGTGTTTGTCAGAGGATGGATACGTACACTTCCCATTCCATTATACTGTGATTTGAAGGTGAAAGATCAATTTGGAGGCGTAACGTCGGTGTCAAGAGAATGGGTGTAGCAGCTTAAAAACTGAAACGAAAGAGAAGGCACAGTGGAATGAGAAAGTCTGGGGCAAAACTGTTATGAGGGTTTGCAGAAAGAATAATATAAAACCAAAACGTTTCTATCTTTCAATTAGTTGTGGGGACTGCGTCTCCTACTCTACTTAATGCTATCATTGCCCAATTACTCCAACCTATGGTAATAGCTATGTAAAATATGTCACACATGAGAGAAAACAAAAACGAAGCAAAAGGGAGAAGTATGTTTTTTGTAAAGAAAAAATGAAGAAATTGAAGTTGTTTTGTTTGTTGTTTGTGGCAATCTAGGAGGTCTGATTTATTTAGGTGGCATTGGCAATGGGCATAGGGGTGGGTTTGTGTCCATTTGCCTCAAATGGAAAGGAGATTAAAGAATGTCCGGTAGTGGTGAATCCATTATGCCTTGGTTTGGTTGCTACTCTCATTAATGATCGCATTTTTTGGGTTCTTGAGCCCCAAATCTCCTTGTCAATGCACAAAACCAAATATGTGCAATTAATTTTCGGCCGTAAAAAGGGCCAATTAATCAGCTGCATTGGGTGTCGGTTTCTGAACATGGGCCTCTTCGCAGTATAATTGGGCTGCCCTACCTCTTTCTATACTCTTTGTCGTTTAATCCCTATCTTGCCTTTGGGCTACCTCAAACATTCTTGTCACTGTCCTTCCTATATACTTCAAATTTTTGGATGTGTACACAACAATTTCAAAAATCATTCTATCTGTTCACGGGTATGGCGTTTATAACATTCTCTAAGAAACCAAATATTTGAAACCAACCAACCATTTTCTCAGCTGCCGCTCACTAGATGTCAGTCACTTTTCATAGTTTTTCATATTGCATCAAAAGAATCACAATGCCAAATACTATATAAATACTATATAGTCTTTTTACATTGTTATATAAGTTTTGAATTATGTACTTTACGTACTACATTGACCTATTTTCACTCGCGTGATTCGCTAAAAACAGTGATGGTACATGTAACATAGCTCGCGTAAAATCTTCAGAGACAAAAATAAATAAATACCCCTCACTCTCTTTCAAAAGGACTACAGGTAAAATTTGTTCGTTTAAATTAGACACAGTGTGGTCCCTCATATTTTGGAGACTCTGGTACTACTACTGTTGTAATGTTGATAGAATTGAGCAATATTGTAAGCACTGAGAGATTGCGAATTGAAATTGAAACTATGTAATGTATATGAAAATGTGAAAAAGGAGAAGTTTAAAAAATTTGAAGTTTTTGGGCTTGTTGAGAAGGTGTGGTTCTGGAAGACAGAAAAAGAGAAGGGTATGGTCAGAGTTGTGCAGGGTTGTATCTGTATGTTATATAATGACTATCTGGACTCTGAAAGAAGATGACAAAAGAGAACTGATCAAAACACTGCCTTTGGCTTCAATAAGGGCACCACCAACGAGTAACTAACTCTGCACCTTTGCTGCACCCATATTTTGCTGTCTCTTATTGCGTTTCATTACACTGTTCACACATAATATACATAGAATTTAAATAAGGAGAAAGATAGACTTAGTTGTGCAAGTATGAACTATAACATTGGTATCATGTCACATAATAATCAAATATTTGGTTTAATGTCTATTCACAACACTAATTAATGTAATAATTCATCAGCATGAGGATAATATTTATTTTTATGTAACGTCTTTTGTAATGTTGTCCATCAATAATAGCTCAAACATTAAAAAAAAGAATAAATATATATATAAAATTAACCTTAAAATGGTTGAATACAAGCTAATTTCTAAGTTAGGTATGTTTATAGTTTCGCCAATGTTTTTTGGCTTAGCATCTAAAAAAATAATTAAGAAAGTAAAATTGTCATGTCACCCAAAAAAAAGACAGAAATTGATAAAGAATAAATAATCCTGCATACTTTATAATCCTACACAGTAAATAACTTCTAGAAATTGGTTATGTATTTATGTTGTCCATGACCGTTTCTTTCTTAAAGAGAATTCAGCTTGTCCCTTCTTCTTTGCTACTGGACTAAGTCCTTATTGTGCAAGATAATATATCTTCTGTAATAAGTTTGGATTAATACTCAATTGCTACACATTTTAAAGCCTTACCTTATCATGAAATTTTATTTATATAAAATATATGGTTATTTAACTAATAAAGACATTGGTAATTTTATAAATAAAAAGGATGATTTTTTTAGCGACTGATTTTACACAAATAAATTCACAGTATTTATGGCAGAAATTTATTTTTAAAAGATATATGTTCATATCCCTTGTGAAAAATATTTTAAATCAAAAACTACATATATTTTGCATAATTTTTTTTAATAGAAACATTTGCAAGTAATAAGTGATGTTTTTAGAAATAGATGTTGCTGTAAGATTTTATTTGTGAGAAAAAAAATTATACAATCGACTTACATACGAGTAAATTAGCAAGTAATTTATTAAATTATGTTTTACAAATAATTTTACATAACAAAATATACATGTATTTCACAAAATATACATAACAACTTTCTATCAAAATCTACAACTATTTTCTGTTAATTCATACAAAAGGCAAATGATTTTTTTATAAAAAAAAATCTCAGAAAAATATGCATGAATTTCTTACTAAAATAATTTCATAAAAAAAATACGTAGATAATAAACATTTGTTTTAGTAGTGATTAATTAATCTAATCTTTCGTTTAAGATGAAATCAAAATAATTATATGAACTGACTAACTTAATATTAGAAATTAAATTATATGATCTTAAACGAAAAGAATGGAAAAATATACAAAACTTGGAATCATCACATGAACTTCTTTACTTTATAGTAGACTAAATACAAGTTTAACTTAATACCATATTATTCTGTAGAATTGGACAACAGCTCAAGTTCCAATATGCAAAGTAGGTTTTACATGAAAGAGTGATTTGGGAAAGAAAAACATGCAAGCTATTGGTCCTTCCAGGCCCACGTGACATTAGGTTCTTCATGCACTCCTTGTTTGGATCATTACTTAATGTTTTTAGAATAATATTTTTTTAATTATTTTTTAATAGAGTAATACAATTCTTTTTCAATAAACTATGTTCTTTGGGAAATATTTAAAAGAAAAAAAAATTTCTATAAAAGTAATTAAATTACTTAAAAAAAGATGATTTCAAATTTCATCTCAAAATTTGTAAATTTTCACATTTTCGAACTAATGTATATTTTTCATAGTCTTCTTTAACTTTAATTTAGGATAAGTAATTTAAACCAAATATTATTGGAATAATTATTTTTCTACTAATGTTAACTGGAGTGTTATATATATATATATATACTTAAATTGTTACTATTATAAATTATTATTATTTTATGTTCAATATTAACTCGGATTTTATCTAATTTTCTTTTTCAATTTCTATAGATATTTTTTTATTAACACGAATGTTATTATTTATCAATAATTTCTTTCAATTGTTTTAAATGATTATTGAAACAAGTTTCAACAACTACTGGTTAATATTTAAATAATTTTATATATTTTCAATAAAAATTGAAATTTAATAAGTTTAAATTGACTTTTAAAAATAAAATTATTTAAAAAAAATCAATTTAAATTTAATATATTTGAATACAGTAAAAATTGAAAAAGGTAAAGTATTTTAAAATTTAAGATTTTAGAATTTAAAATTATAATTCAATATATATTTTTAAATTGTGTAAATCATAATCATATTTATATTTTGGATAAGATAGTATCAAATATTTTTTTAATCGAGAAATATGATTTGATTTAGAAAATTTAGAATATATTACTCGATTTCTTAATTATAAAAAATGTATTTAAATGAAGTGTTCTTACTAACAAGAAATATATAAATATTTAAAAAAAGAGATATAATAAAGAGAAACAGAAATAAAACAAGAATGAGATGTGTCACTTTTGAAGCCCAACTCATAAAGCTCTCCATTGGGACAGAGTTATAACTTTTATTATCTCTCCAAAGTATCTCCTTGTCGTATAACCCTAATATTTCTGAATCGTGCTATCAGGTTCCAGTGGTAGAAGAGGAGAATCGGTACCTCCGACAAGATTACTGTTCATTTCAACTACTTAGAATTAGATGGATTTATTACATGTATCTTTTATTTATATATTGAAATTCATGATCCACTGCCATATGTGAAACAAGTGATAGTTCTGAATTTGCTTCTGATATGGAAGCCGAAGTCCGATGATACCCTCCACAAGAAAGAATAGCCTGGTATGATCACCAGACTACTGCAAAATCCTTAGTTAATGAAGAAGCCAAAAAGCTGCAGCTAATGAGACTCAGAAGAATATAAAATTATAATTGCTATTAAAATAGTTCATTTTCTTCATTAATTCATTGCAATCCTTAGTGTGAATTCTTATTTATAATAATATATGATTATTTAAGTAACAAAGACAACTAATTTTACAAAAAAAAAAAACAGAATTTATACTATGAAGTTTTTTTAATATTTTCTTCATTTTATGATGCCATAGGTTAGTTTCTTTAATTTATAGAATGAAGAGTTAAAATAATTTTCTATATCGTACATGTTTTAATGTAGATTTAAATCAGTGATTCAAAATATTATATTAGAAATATCTTTCAGAACTGATGTTCAATATTTTATTATAACTCACGGTGATCAATTGGTTGCACTTTATTCTAAATAGATCAATTTAGCCACAACAAAATTCTATGAATAATTCGGTGGTTAGAATACAAAATTTAGTGACTCTTTTCGGTTGCTAACATGAAAAAAATAATATAAAATTTTAAAATACTTCAATCGTTAATTCAGTAGCAGATGTGATAAACTTTCATTTACCGCTTTCCTAGTCGTCTTTCCCCTCACCAAGATATATATTCGATTAACCATTTTTCAAATTTCAAATTTTCTTTTTCTAAATACTCAATCTTCCTTTACCAACAAAAGCTCTTTCATTCCATAAATGCAACCTCTCAATCCAACAAAATATATTTTCGGTCCTAGTAAATTTGTGTTCTAGTTCTTTTTAGTCTTCTTTAAACATAATAATCCAAAGTTAAAATCTGACAACTTACGAGCAAACTCTCTCAAAAATCATCTTGTTCATGTGTTTGATATTATCTGAATTTGGAATAGGTGATTCTAAGGGAAATAAAAATCTCCGTCATATATTTTAGTATTCAAATCCCATATCCAACTCAATAGTTATCAAATGTATTTTTATTTAAAAGTCTCTCGACAAAATTTTACAAATTCAAAACGAACAAATGAAAAAAGAACTTGCCTTTGTCACTGAAGCTAACATCAGCTAAACAATTCTTCATACAATAAATTAACCCTTGCAACACAGTAAATTTGCCCATTAATGTGAAAGTGATAACTGATTAGGAGAAAAGCTGCTATAAAATATAAGACAGAATTGTTTGAGAGGCACAAAGTCAACAACAACCCGCTCCTTTCATCAAAAGCAAAAGCAACAAAACTTAAAAAAAAAAAAAAAAAAACCATGTTTATGATGAAAACGAGTGACTATATTCCAAATAGAAAAAATAATTTAGGGTTTGTGAGGGTTGTGGGGCCCTGTAGGAAGCAGAAAGTAAACAAGGGCAATAAAGGGAGCGTGTGAAGACAAAAGACCCAAAAAGCAAAGGAAGCCGATGCCAGAAAGGAGAATTGCATTCATCTTTCAAAACAAAAAGCTGAAGAACCTTTCATGGCTCCCCTTCTTCTATCATCTTATAAAGAAAACACTTCACTCAGATCATTCATTCACATCCAACCACACCATCAAAACACACAGCTACATATATTTTCTTCTGTTTCCCTTCATGCTCCAAAGTACACAACATCATAAAATCTTACTCACACACAAAAAATCATTACTATAACTGCCACTGTCATCACGTCAGCAATGCAGCCACGAAGCTCCATTTCCAACACCATCAAGTTCTTGCACAAGACTCTCGAGAACTTCAAGTCTTGTTTCTCTCCCGGATACCAGAAGCTTCCCAAAACACCTCCACAAAATCATTTCTTGGGCATGGACAATAACAACCCATGTTACAAAGACTTAGAAAAGTTCTACAGTGACTTCACCAAGCAATGGGATTCAGGAAAGGAGAAGGGTAGGCAAAGAAGCAAGAGAAAAGGCAAAGAGTTTCCAAACGAAAGCGTCACTGGGTTGAACAATGCAAGGCATGATGAACAGAAGATGAATGATGAGACTGAGAAAAGAGAGGAATGTGAGAAGAAAAAGAACAAGGGGTTAATCAGTGAAAGGGTGAAACAGAACGATTCATCGTTGAATTCGATGAAGGGTAGGAGGGGAAATGGAAATTATTGCATGGTGGAAAAGAAGCTTAGAGAAATGGAGATGTTGGAGATGAGTGATGTGGATTATGTACTTGACATCGAGGAGTTTCTGCATTACTATTCTAGAATCTCTTGTCCCATGTTTCTTGAAATTGTGGATACATTCTTCGTGGAAATGTACTCTGAGTTCAATGGTGGTCTTGTTGTTACACCTCGTACTCGTAGTGAGTCTTAGATTCCATGACTTTTGTCTTGTTAATGCTTCTTCCATGGATGGCATGGATGATTTCGTTTGCTTCTAAAATTCAAAATAACTGTTGTTGTTGTTCAATATCTATTTCGTTGATCAATCATCAAAGGATCAATATGATATGAAAATTCGTTTTGAAAATTGCCGTGTTTCTTAAAGAAAAAAAAAAAGATATTTATATTTCAATGTTAAGAAGCCTTTTTATTAGCTCAATTTACGGAAACAGAAGGTACTTGGGTCCCTTGAGGAAAGCCATAAACCTTTTTCTTTTGCTTTCTTTCTCCTCTTTATCAATATGGATGCCTTTTATATTTAAAAACAATGAGGTGATTTAAAATTATTAAGACTTTGGAGTAATCCAATTTTATTTTATAATTTACAATCAAAAGTTCATACTACTCAATTGTATGTTTTCTACAAAATTATTACAAGTACAAACTGTTTAAAATCATCTAATAATTTATTGCTTTTTACAACTAAAGACATCTGAATGATAAGAAAATAAAATCAAGGCAGTAAATAATATGATTAAAGAAAATAGTTATTGTTGGGTATAAGAATTAAGGTAAAATAAATAAAATTAAGTATTTATTCTACCCAGTGTTCTTATGCTTATTAAATGTTACATTGTGTATATTTATTCAATTTAAAATAAAAAGAAATACACATTATACGGGCATGTTTTTAAATTATTATAACGCAAGTTGCTATAAAATTATTATGGTAGCTAGCCATTAGGTGCTACCTTTTTTTTGTTAAATTAATATAGAAAATCCTGTGAAGTCTTGTTCTATTGCTGTAACTTTTAGATTAGTGTAAGAATTGTCCGGATTGATAAAACAGGGAAACGGAGTTTTTTTTTTCTTTTCGAATTTACGTATTTTTATTTTTCTCAATATGAAAAATAGAACAAAATTTTGATTATTATTCATGTTGTCTGTTCTTTAGTCGTACACTACCACGATCATCAACTTTCCGACTATGATAATATATTTTAGATTATACAGTCTAGAACGCATAAGAGATATTTCATATTATATAATTAAGAATGTATTATATTTTAAAATGTATTTTGGATGTATAATTCAAAATAATTTCGAATTACATAATTCACAATGTATTTAAAAAAATTTCGTATTAAGGATAAAATAATAATTTCATTACATATATGGAAGTATAGATGAATAAAATATGGAGATGCAGGAAGCAGAAATGAGCTTGGACGGATCCTTTTAAGACTTAAAATGGGTCCAATAGAACGATGACCGTAAATCTCTCCCATTTTTTTTATTTATAAGTTTGTTCTACAATTTTTATAGCTCAAAAACATAATTTCTTGATTTTATTTTCGTTTATTAGTATAAAATATGCTCTTTGAAACGTATTTAACAATTTTATTAACTAAGTTCAAAATATATTCTTTAAGCATTAATATTCCAAAACTTAAATTTTAAAACATTCAAAAAGTATTGAAAAAATACTTTAAGATCTGTAATGAATTTTCTCAAAATCCTAATTGAAATAATGAGTTAATATAAACGGTTCAATGTCCAAAAAGAACTTAATCGATACAAATTTTAATTTATTTTTATGTTAATACACACCTTTGCTATAAATTGTTGTGATAAAACAAACATACTACAGTGAAATAGAAAAAATAGAAGTAATCTTAGCCCATTCAGTTTACCTAGCACGCTTCACTTTCTGCCCAATCCCATGAGCCCTAACTCTATCATTCTTTTTTGAAAGCAGAAAATTGATGACAGGCCCAAAATCCAAAACATGTATCACCCAAAAATGCACTATCATACAAAGTGCCCATGTGCATTGCATTATTCTACTTACAATGCTCAAGGATATTTAAAATTGTATATTATAATTTGAAAAAAAAATCATATTGTTTCAAAATCATTTATATTATGGAAACATGTTAATACTACTGTTTTGTAGGCTTTTGAAACCATTTGACTCTCCAATCACCAATGCTAAATTTTACAAGATTTTTTGAAAATAATAATGGTTAAATATAACTGAACAGTTAATGAAAAAACCCATATTCTATCCATTTTTATCAGTGATATAGAAATTAACATGACTTATATTAGTATTTGTCAAAAACTCTTTCTCAATTAATTGTTTTTGGGTCTTGTATAGAGAAAAAAAATACTTCAGAGACACATACAATTTTACATTCATTTAATATTTTTTTAATTTTTTACTTTCTTTTTTTTAAGTATAAAAGTTATTTTTTTATGATCATTTTATTTTTATAATATATGTTAAATAAACGTAAATATGAACAAAATATTCTCACCAAAGCAATTCTCCCTCTTAAGATGGCACATTATGCATGTGCTATGGATATGGTAACATGGTTCAATTACTGAGAATAAAAGGAGAAAGGAATGACACAATCTGAGGTTGGAAGAAACGTCCAATAGTCTGAGAAAAGATGACACTTTTTTTTAAAGTACAGATTCAAAGGTTTTGCACTATGTAAGGTGGATCCCATTTTATCTGCTACCTATATTGATCAAAAGATGAAGTGAAACCCACGTCATGAATCCAAGTGACATATCAATGCAAACGATGATTCAAGAAATTGTGCATAACAGTATATGGGTGTGTTTCATGTGTGTGCATATGCTCTCACAAGACTCCAATTTCTGCTATTCATTGACATTCCAAGGATATTGGATCAATGTCACTTCACTTCACTTCCACTCTCCTCTTTCAAACACTGCCATGGAAATTGGGGGAACCCCATTGTTTCTCTCATGTCTCTCTCAACTAGCCCTGTTATGCTAAAGTGGAACACCTAAGGCTCATCCTTTTTTCTTTTAATCCATAATCATTTTGAATACGCATTCTGCTTTGAATAACTTACCTGAGATATTTGTGCTAAGTTTCAGACCAGTTAATGATGCATAATATTTTTATGTCAATATTATGCATTATTGTAGGTATATATAGTTTGTAGATATCTCTCATTGCTATATACTACAGACAGTACTACAATAACATTAAAATATAAAGGCTAGGATGATGAATTGTTCCTTCTATTTCCCATCTGTTGAAAAGTATCTCTGCCTACCTACCCATTTTATTACACAAACATGCAATCAGAATCATATGGTGAGAAAATTTAAGATAACTTAAGATAACGTTGTGGACGTAATGTATGGACCGACCGATCGGTCAACTATGTAGGAAGTCAATTCCAAAAAAAACCACAACTAAAGTGATCGAACGGTCGAATGTTTAACTCTAGACCGGTTCAAAAATTTTATTTTTTGATTAATAAGGTAAAAACATACTTAGATGATATTGGACCATAATTGGATCAGTCCTAATCAAATGTCCACTAATAAATACAAAGGTCAAGTAAAGAGGTGAATAATTACGTTTATTGAATATTTAAAACTTAATCATGATTACTGATAGGTAATTGAAAACTAATTTGAACTACAGGTACTCATTGTTTGGATTCAAACTCTACCAAAAGGAAGACTTGATAAGATATAAGAAAAAGTGAAACGAAATTGAGAAAAACGATTAGACTACATTGTGAAAGTGTAGTTCCTGACCCTACGTACAGAAACACTTATGGATGTTGATTTGTGATGGGTGAAATTAACTACTTAACCCTATTCTCAAATGTTATCTTGATTGCAGGTAACGGATTTGACAAAGATGTGTGACATTGCATATAGCTAGAGCTATATATAGGTTATATATTCCTAGGAAAGTTAATTAGGTTTTACGTTGGATGAATGTTTTGTTTTGTTTTGTTTTTGTCCTCTCTGGTACTCTAGTCTAGTGTAATATAGTCCTTAAATGGTGAAATGTTTTGTTATGAAAGATAATGAGAAATGAGAAATGAAGGTTGTGTTGGTGATGGAATATAGAGAGAAAGAGAAAGAGAGTTCACGAAAGTGGAAATTAATTGTAACATGTTTGGTTTGGAATCCGGAACATGTGGAGAGAGGAATGATTGAAGATTAGAAATTGAAAGTGGTGGTCCATGTAAACCTACCATCACCCTCTTCAAGAGAAAGATCCCAGTGTTTTATGTTTGGTAAGTACACCGAATCGCAAAAAGTTACAAACAAATAATAGGATACACAACTATTTCATTGGAAGTCGATCCTCCTATACAATTATATAAACATATTTTTTTAATATTTTAGATACGAAGAGATTATAAGACGTATGTCATTTAAATGTTAATTATAAATTTTGTATATTAAAAAAAATATAGTATTCATTGGTTTGAATTTCTCATTTCCTTTGATTTCATTGGTATTATATATAAGTTGAGATGAGCGAATACATTTCTAATGTCTATTTTCTTTATTTATATATTAATTATTACTCATATAATAAAATAAAACCTTTCAATCTATTAATTCACCTTTCATTCCATAAGATAACTTATATATCATCCGTGTTTTAATAACTCTCAGAGCTGTTTTCAAGTTATTAATATATTAAATTCTAAATAATCTATTAATAGAAGAGGAGTTTTTTTCCTTTTATTGTAACCTATATTGCTGTACTGTCATTATTATTATTACTAGTATGTTCTACGAGTATGTATCTTTACTTTTCTATGTTAAAATAGTAAAATTATTATTATTATAATTATAAAGGAAATAGAAATAATTTTTACAATTTTATTTTAGATAATTTTTCTTTATTTTGAAAGTAAGTTTTTTATTATAGATAATTATTTTAGCTTAAAAAATAGTTAAATTTAAAATAATGATAAAATAAATAAAAAAGTTAAATTTAAAAGAATGGTATGTAAAGGATAAAATTGATAAGGCATTTTAAATTTTAAAAATTTATTATTTAAATAAATAAATAAATAAATAAAATGTGTATTAAAAAAAATATCTTTCTTTATTATTATAATTATTAATTCTTGGAAGCTTAATTAACCCCTGTGGAAATCCAAGAATCAAAGACATTGGGTAACTTATCTAATATCAAACAAACAAAAGTTAGTTTTTCCTCTAAAACAAAGTAAATAGCTTTATATTCTTAGTCGATATATTATTTATGACATTTTTTAACACGATGTAAGTTACGCCTAAT